GAATTTTGCGCTCTATTTTATAAAATTATTTGCGTCGAATTCTGACGACTTTGAAAATTTTATTTAAAACTCGTCGCGACGTATCGAAAAGCGTGTGAGGTCTAAAACGGCATTTCTGTGGGTTCTACATACTTATTCTCTATCACGTTAATGATGTTGTCTCAAATTTAGATGAATTATAAATGGTTAATTGTGGGATTAATAGAGTCACTAGGTCCATTTAGCGCATTAAGCGCCAAATCTAAGAAGAGAAAAAAACTTTCTATGGATTCTAAAATCCTGATGGATATCTGGGTTATTACAGAAAATGTGTGATTATGACAATGTTAACATGAGATGGCTAATGACTTTAAAGATATAAGGTGCTGCTCAAAAATTAAAAGAGAAATTTGGCATTGAGCTCACAAGTAAACAATACAAGAATCAGATTAGATATCAAAAAAGTGTTTGGAATCACATCCAAGAATTAAGAAAGAAGTTTGGAGAAAAAAGTGTTTGGAATCACATCCAAGAATTAAGAAAGAAGTTTGGAGTGTCTTGGGATGACAGTATGAAGACTATCTTAATGGGTCAAGATGAGTTTCTATCGCATATCCAGGTAATACTTCAAATTTAGATGATTTTTTATAAATGCAAAGATGCAATCTATCTCTTACGCTTACTAATTTGAATAATTATAGTCTTTTCCCGAAGATGCACTATATTTTAATATTTCTCTTCCAAATTATATGGAGTTAGAGAAAGTTTGTAGTGAAGGTCATGCAATTGAAGATTGGGCTAGGTCATAAAATTATATTTATTAATTTGGACTCAAAATATTTAATCTTATTAGAATAGTTTAACTTTTCTCTGTAGACACTCAACCAAACAACATCTAAGTATTCAGAATGTATTAATTTTACTTTACTTTGCATACACCCAACCAAACAAAAAATAATTTCCCTGCATCACTTTACAAACAATCAAACATCCTCAAAGTATTTATTTTATTATGCATTCACTTTACAACAAACCAAACAACCCCTAAATATCGCAAAGTAACCTTTTGAAATCATGGCCATGATAATAGAAATTGATTGATTAAAAGTAGGCAGATTAACTTCCTTAAAACATGTTAAAGTAGGCTAGGCAAGACATCATCTTCGATGATCATTATTCTCCTTTTGAATAAGTCTTTCCTATCAGAACAGTGAATTAGTTATTGCCTCTTCTAGCATCGAGAAGAATATGAACTCACTTTTATTTATGAACACAAGTTATCTGTTATGCACATTGAAATGCTTATTTAATTAGTATGTCGTTCACTTAATCTGGTTATCAATCAGCTCGATAAGTGTTTCATTTGATTAGGTAACAAGTCAATGAATAATTTTACTCGTTGGTTCCATGGTTTAAAATTGTGCAATACAAGGCTCGCATTGAGACCCGCCTTTGTGCAATTCCAGTAAAAAACGCCTCGATGCTTACGCCTCGAGTTTTTTTTATAAGGCTTGCGCCTCAACTTGGTTGAGGCCCGCCTTGCCTCACTGGCATTAGGCTTACGCCTCATGCTATATATATTAAAACTTACATAAATCTTGAAGAAAATGCCCAACATTAGACTCTATTGGAGAGGAGGAAGGCGAGAGAGCAGTTTATCATAATGATGATTCAAATGAAGAACCCCTTAGTGATGACAGTGTTGATGACTTATGAGTTCTTATGTGATATGTCATTGCTATTTGTTTTTGGAAATTAGAATTATATGTTAATGAAAAGAATACTGGGATTTGAGAAAGATAGAATTTTGAGTTGAACTATATCTTATTATTGGGATATTTTGATTTAAATTCATATCTTATGCTTTTTTATGTTTTATATTATTCACTTATTAGTATATAAAAAATTTATAATTTTATGTTTATGCAATCTTTTGATTTTGATGCTTACGCCTCAAAACGCCTTGGCCTCACGAATGAAAAACGCCTCAATACCCGAATACGCAATTTTGAACATTGGTTGGTACACTTGATAAAGCTCATTTAATCAACTACTAAGTTCTTTGGTGGTATTGTTGATTACTAAGCTAAATATGGCCCATTTTGTTGCTAACAAGCAGCTCAATATTAATATTATGCAAGAATAATGTTCAAAATTTACTTACGTAAGAGTAATGCGAAAATGTAAAATATAAAAACAACAACAACATCATGCCTTTATCCCACTGTGGGGTTCGCTACATGAATTTTTTTTCTCCATTGTGTCCTATTAAGAGTTAAATTCTCATTTTAATCTAATAAAAAAAGTCATTTCTGATATTTTTTAATCAAGTCTTTTTAGGTCTATCTCTACCTTTCTTAACATAAGTCAAATCTAATACATCTACTTTCCTAATCGGGTCATCAAAAGCCCGCCGATTTATGTGACCAAACCATCTAAGGCAACTATCTCTAAGCTTATCTTCCAGTGGAGTTACTCCAACCTTTTCATGTATGTGCTCATTTCGTTTCCTATCTCTAAGAGTAAAGCCACTCATCCACCTGAGCATCCTCATCTATGTAGCACTTAACTTAATATTATGCTTCTCTTTTAATGGCCAACATTTTGCTCCATAAAGCATTGCAGGTCTAACCACTGTCTTATAGAATTTTCGCTTAAGTTTGAGTGGGGCTTTTTTATCACACAATTAGCCTGATGCATTCCTCCACTTCAATCTTTAATTTGAATTTTACTAATAATATCCCCATTTATTTCACCATCACTCTGAACAATAGATCGAATATATCGAAAACGTGTACTCCTATTAATGACTTGATCACCCAAAGTCACACTTCCCCGCTACATCTATTATTTCAAAATTATACTATATATATTCAGTTTTAGATCTGCTCAAACGATTGCCCTTAGACTCTAAGGTTGACCTCCATAATTCCAGTTTACCTTCAACTCCCTCTAGTCTTACCAACAAGAAGAATATTATCAACAAAAAGTATACACCAGGGTACAACCTCTTGCAAATGTCTAGTGAGAATATCCATGACTAAAGCAAAATGATGTGGGCTTAAGGCTGATCTTTGATGTGAGCCCCAACCCAAATCAAACCAAGTTAAAGATCCACATTTCTCCACTTTAGTTTACTCGGGATTCTTGAGAGGAGGCAACCAATGGTTGTTAATCAGATTCCTTGGACACTACAATCAATGGTTGTTAGTATTGATAAATTGAAACCTACGATATACTCAGAACGATGGAACCATGGGATCTTGATCAGGTGTACCTTCATCCCCCATAATTAAGATTAAAACATTGTTACACATTTTCATACTCCTTGACCAAACTAAAATATATTTCATACTTAATTAAGAGTGCTCTTTTAGTGCGTTAGGAGAGGTAATCAACTATGAGGGCTTGCGTTCATAGGAAGTAGGATCCAGATCTAAATAAACACTGACACTGCTCTCAGGGAAAATCTTGTTAAATATTAAATTCAATCTACCTCAGGGAAAATAAGGCGACCTTCAGCTTGTGAGAGCGATGTTCGTGCCTGTTATTATTTTTCCAGAGTGAACAAGGAGAGAAAGATACGAGCAGAAAGAAGAGGAAGAAAGCTTATCAATGGATAAAAATTATTCTACGCAAAAGTCTGCCTAACCAAATATATCCAAGTGAATATATTGGTGGAACAAATAGCCATCATTATGGAGTGAATGAGGATGCAAACAACCACCATCGTGATTGGTGGGCTAAAGTCATAATCATTTTCCTTTTATGCCAAATGCATCCTTGAATGGAGAGGATGAGCATGCAAGAAGGATTTATCCATTTGAAGTAGAAGTTTTAGTAGATATTGTTTGATTCGGTGGGACAATTGATGCTAATAAAATGGATGCTTACATTGACTAGTTGGAGACAAATGGCATTTTTTAATGAAGAAATAGCTTTTGTTGTGGTGAACAACACTGATGAGTTCGATGGATAAGGCAAACCTCTATATCTCTATTGGCAATGCCAACAACCATTGTATGTTATTTCTGCCAATTTGCTGCAGAAAGTAGGGTAAGACACCATACCTTATCCTGATCACTTCCCTATGGATTTGATACAGAAGAGGCTGGAGGTGGTGGTTTTTTTGTTCTATTTGAAGTTTGTAATCACAAGGATTACATGGATGGAATGATATGTGAGGTGGTTTTACTTGATATTCGCTAAGTCATCGTACCTCATACCTTCTTGATAAGTATGCAATACTACATCAATGGCCTTGTTAATGTTAGTTTAGGAAAAAAAGAAAGGTTTTATGCTGAAAAAAAAAGTCTATTGTGCCAATGATAGACATAGTAATGGCACGGAAAACTGATAGACTAATAAATCCAAGCTAGAACTTCCTATCAATGTTGATCTGTGCCTTGTCGAAGAAAAAAAGGAGAAGTAATGCTTTTTAAACATTAGGCAAATAAGGTGGAATGCATGTAAACTCAAGAGTAACATATACAACTCATCTCCGACACACCAATGTCTAAGTTATCGATATATTGAAACTCAGTTATCAAGATTGATTCCCTCAATGTTATGGCGATCTCGGAGTGTTTAGACCTTGGATGGTTTTGAATTGGCTTGCTTTCAGGCTTTAACTACCTAAAGACATTCAAAGGAAGAAGAGCATGCCTTCCAAAAGATCAATGAATCAAGTATTGCTAGAAATGTTGAAGAGAGGAGAAATTATCATAGAACCAAATTAAATCAAGTAGTACACTCAAAGAAATACTTAGAAAAAAAAAATAAAAAAAACATGATTTCTTCAATAACCAAACGTAATCATCTTTTGTTTTCTTAAATTCTGCTTCTTTGTTTATTTATTTGTATAGAGTTTTCTGGAACTTAATTTTTTTTGCAGTTTGTATCAAATATAACATTGTCTCTTGGATTGTTCTTTTTAATGACGGATTTTCATTATAGACAAGTGACAGTTTAATTTTCCGGATCACAGTTCTCCTAATTTAACGGTTTTCATGGTTTGTCAGGAAGTATTTTCACACCACCTTGGCGACCAGAATGAACTTACACAGGAATTGGCTTCTCAAGGCATGAGCATTGTGTATGAACTTGGTGATTCATCTACCAAGCAAGACCTAGTTAATGCTTTGGTAAATACCTTGACAGGTTCAGGGAAGAGGAAGAGAGCTATTAAGGTATGATATATTTTAGATTTCATATCTGAGCCCATCTTTACGACATTCTGTCTTTCCCATTTTTCTGATCTTCTATGAAATCTTATATTAATTTTGGGAATGAATTTCAATTGTTGATTGTAGTTGATGGAGGACTCTGAAGTATTCCAGGAAGGAGCTATAGGTGAAACTCTTAGTGGAGGAAAACTCAGCACTTACAAGGAACTTTGCAACTTAGCAAATGAGATGGGGCAGCCTGACTTAATCTATAAATTCATGGATCTAGCTAACTATCAGGCATCTCTAAATTCCAAAAGAGGAGCTGCCTTTGGGTTTTCGAAGATAGCAAAGCAAGCTGGGGATGTACTTGAGCCACATTTGCGTGAACTGATACCTAAACTAGTTCGCTTACAGTATGATCCTGAAAAAAATGTTCAGGTAGTAAACATGCTAGTTTCTATCTTGAGTTGTTTTAGAGATCTTTGTATTTTTATTTTCTATATATTTATAAATTATAACAAATGATCATGTGCGAATGAAAATATTTGTGAAATTCAAGTTTCTTCAACACACGCTATATGACTATTATCAACTTAAGTTATCATTATAAGCCGTAACTAGTGTAAAGGGTGTACTTGAATTAATGTCATTGTGGAGTTAGATTGATTCTCTAAATATAAACTTCACATTGTTTTATGGTTTTTGTTGATTATATTTTTTGGTTCTTAAAGAAACTTAAAGAAATTTTTTGGTTCATAAAACGGCGGCCTTCCGATGACCCGGTTAGGAGAGTAGAGGTATTAGATTTGTCTTATGTTAAGAAAGTTAGAGGCAGACCTAAAAAAACTTGGTTAGAAAATATTAGGAATGACCTTTCTATATTAAATATAAACGAGAATTTGACTTTTAATAGGACACAATGGAGAAACAGGATTCATGTTGCTGACCCCACGTAGTGGGATAAAGGCTTAATGTTGTTGTTGTTGTTGTTGTAAAGAAACTTGAAATATTTTTACTTGTCGGATAAGATAATATATGGTACTTATGTATGCCTGCATTCTAGAATCTGTGAAAATCTACTACGTCGTTATCTTTTAAAAATGTATTAATTTGCGAGCATCAGCACTAAAAGAAGAAAATAAAAAGGAAACATACTATAGAAAGCCAAAATGTGAATAAAGCTTTAAACTTTTCATCCCTATGCCTTCTGTTTGATATCACGAAGCTTTTCATTCTTTGAGCTGATCCGGTACTTGGATGGTATTTGTCATGTTTCAAACTCATTGAGTTTTAGTTTTACGGCTCAAATTTGTTTTATATTTATATAGATCAAAGTATTTGTTTTATTTCCGCATAAATTTGCTATGAAAAATAGATAGATTTTTCGTAATTTTTCGCACCAGGAATGTCTTGGTTTCTTCCTTTAACTTTGAGGGCATTGTTTGTATCCAAGTTGACGTCTCTTTAGGCATTTGGTGTATTCTTATGCATCCCATTGAAACTTTGAGAGCTTGTTATACTTTTGTATGCGAGGTAATATTGGTTGATTGGTACATGCTATTCTAAAGAGTTTTTTGTTTCCATTAAACTCATGTTTGCTCTATGGAATATCTGGCCTGATGCTCGGAAGCCTTTAAATTTTCTGTGTTAGGATGCAATGGAAAACATATGGAAGTCTCTTGTTGCAGATTCAAAGAAAGCAATTGATGAACATTTTGATCTCATTGTCGAGGATTTGTTTGCGCAATCTGGATCAAGACTTTGGCGCTCTCGGGAAGCTTCTTGTCTTGCCCTTGCAGATATTATTCAAGGCCGAAAATCTAGTCAGGCATGCTTAGTTTTCTTTTTCAAATTCTAATCAATATCTAGTCCAAAGGAAAGTCTTTTGCTTAGTTGATATGCCATTTCTGTAGTAATTTTCTTCAAAATATCAGTTTTAGTTGGCTAACTTATTCTATAAAATTTCTCTACTTATTTTTTTAATGAATTTACGAAACTGACATTGATACATTTCACTTTCTAGGTATCCAAGCATTTAAGAAGCATATGGATGGCAGCTTTTCGTGCTATGGATGATATTAAGGAAACCGTCCGAAAGTCTGGTGATAGTTTGTGCCGTTCTGTGACTTCACTGACTATCAGGCTATGTGACATTTCTCTAACTCCAATATCAGATGCTAGTGAAACTATGAATATTGTTCTTCCTTTCTTACTTGTTGAAGGGATAGTTAGTAAAGTTTCTAGCATACAAAAGGCATCAATTGGCATTGTAATGAAGCTTTCAAAGGTATGGTATACAAATTTCTAGTTATTCTGCAACTTTTGGGTTCCATCATACTTAAATTGATGCAAGCAAAAATTTGTGAAGGACCCCAAATTTTTGCAAGCAAAAACAAGACTCTTCGTAGGATATAAAAATATAGAAATGCTAAAAAAAAAAAAAAAATTATATAAGACAAAGAGACAACACCTGCACTAAACAAAATACAACTTTAATATTATAAAAATGATGCATACAACTTTATAACATAGAAACAACACCTAAAGAAGCTTGCATTCGTCGAGAAGAAGGATACTGGTGGGGTGGTTACTTGCGGATGGAAGAAAGAGATTAGAAGCCGAGAAGAAACATAGCTCGCAAGCTATAGAGAGGAGAAGAGGAAGAGGTGGCATAGCTCGCAAGCTATCCAAGAAAACCCTCAGGTTTCTTTCCAAAAATCAGCACACAACAACTTTTTCCATCCAAATGCATCTCTAATATATAGGCAAAAAGAAAGAAGCTAAACAGCCATAGCACTTCCAACCAAATCCAATCAGAATTGGGGAAATGAAAGGTCAATAGTCACCACAAAATCCCACAAGAACAGCTTAGAAAACATTGAGAAAGAAGCACGGGAAACCCTGCCAAAAGTCACGGGAAGCCCAGCCAGCAAGGGACTCGACGAGCCAGCACAGGAAACAGGGCAGCACTTCACGGGAAAATAGCCAGGGGGGAAACCGAGAGGGAGTGACCACGGGAACAACAACAGCTAGCAGAAACCGAGAAGTGCATTTATGAGCTTGTATAGAAGTATACCTTTTTGAATTTATGAGCTAGGAAGTGCATTTATTCCTCCAATCATTGAGCTAAACTTCAGCTCAAACATTAATGAGTTAACATCAAGTAGAATCCAAAATTTTGAGCTCAACACCAAGCAGCCAAGGCCCAACCCGAGAGCAACCAAGGCCTCCAACCAAGAACAGACAAGGCTCCAACAGAGAGCAGCCAAGGACAAACCAAGGCCAAAATTTAGGATTTGTCTTGACAACCCCCTTGCCTACATCATAAATGCAAGTAGTAATTTGCTAATTTAGCTCAGGGTTGTCACTCTATTCACTTTTATTTGGTTTTTTTGAATACATAGGCGCAAGCTAGTCAGCCTGCTTAGTCCACCCTAATGATGTATTAGCCTTGTGTTACATTTTGTGCAGTAAGCTATTGTTGTCCCTAGTCAATTGTAAGTTTATGTTGGATTTGGGAAAGGATAACTCACACTGAATCAGTCTGATCTGAAAAAACTCTATGATGCACCGTCACTTCTCCTCAAAGAGGCGTGCAGTGTCCGACACCGTGTCCGACACTACACTCGTCCGACACTCCTCCGACACGTGTCGGACACGCCGAAAACGTGTCCGATTAATAAATATTAAATACAAATTGGCCACGCGTGTCGGACACGCGTATCTTAAATATTTTATGAATTTTTTAAAAAAATAATTTCTTGTATTTGGCGGGATTTAAAATAATTTTTTTATTTTCTATCCACAATACCAAATCAACGTCCGCACTTAATACCCAATCATCGAATATTCTCATTTTCATTTCTTTTTGGCAATGAAGGTATTTTCATCTCATCTCTCGGTGACTGATAAACGGCTTCGACGCCTGGCTCTTGACATCCTAATACTAATCATTTTAAGCACAAATTCTAGTTAAATGACTTATTATTTTCAAATTATTTTTAAAATTATACTTATTTAATTTTTATACATTATTTTTTAAATATAAACACTATAATAACGTGTCCAAGCCGTATCCGTGTCCTATATTTTCAATAACTGACGTGTCCCGTGTCTGTGTCGTGTCGTATTGGTGTTGCCGTGTCCGTGTCCGTGCATCATAGAAAAAACTTAGTGGTTGATCAATGCAGTTGACTTTACCTAGCTTGATTAGAACTCAGGTTCAGGAAAACTTCATGCATGATGTTTGGGTTGCGCCTTAGCTTAGGCAAAGGTTTTAATAACTCCAACATATTTTATTCTTGCCAACCTAGTGTCCCCCTTTTTTTGGTTTAGCATCAATCTTCTTTCATTTTTCATCATTTATGTTTAATTTAAATTCCATCATTCTCCTGCAAAGCATGCTTCAAAGTCTAAATCATGCTTTTTCTTTCAATTCAACTTGTTATTTCTGCATAACATTTCATCATCAAATTCATCAATCTGCCACAATGGCCAGCTCAATGTAATGTCTTGACTACTGCTACCGACTGCTTTTTTTTTCTTTTACTTTGCTCCCTCTCTAGAATTCCTAATTAAATAAAAAAGGATCCCTACATAGCAAGAAACGAAAAATTAAGAAGAATTATTCCCCTTTATGCTTGCTACTTGTGGCAATCTGGTGGTACAATTTCAATTGTGCTAATAGGTCTCAAATACACATGGTATGTTCTCACTATTTTTCTTTGAATTGATTCAAAGGAGGCTTAGAAAGCCAGTGAGAAAGAAGATTGCTCCTCCCCTTCATTAGAGGAATTGATCATATTTCATTCAATGAAGTTTGAGTGGTGTGTGGGCTCCGAAAATTTGCATCCTAGGCGACCCTTTCTTTTTGTGCCGGTGAGGAGAGTTTTAACGAGTTTAGATTCCATGGTAAATTTTCAGGAGGCATAATGGTTTTAGATAAGACACTACTTAGAGATTTCACCCTTATTTTGTGAGGTTTTAATGATCTGAGTTCAAGTTTCCTATAGGCGCAAGCTCCTATAGTTAATTACCTCTCTTGATAACGAGAGAGAACTTTCGATTAAGGCTAGTTGTTGAATAGATACATAATATCTAGCGTATAGTAGTAGCAACATTAAATATTGAAAATTTATCATTGTGCACTTAAAGCGGATGGTGGTTGAATGATGATGAATCCGATTAAGATCCCATGGTTATGTTGTCTTGAGTCATTATGGTCCCTAAACTACTTAGTCAGAGGTGATAGTCGACCCAATCTGGCCGAATGATCCTTATCGACAGCCATGGGTTGCTTCGTATAAGGTTACCTTGTAAACTTAGGGTGAATGTTTGCCTAAGGGGATAGATTTGAGTCCACCTTATCTAACAAAAGATTTTATGCCCTATCAATTATACCCTATTGATTTATTACTCATGGATTTAAAGCTATTGGGGAACATACGGGCTATGATCATGACCATAATTTAGTGGTACCATTGGAAGATAAAATCACCCAGTTAGAGGGCCCCGGTCATAACCGTTTATCATATTGTAGCGAAACTATCGGTTAGAAGACATGGGTCCGTGATGCAGACAAATATATTAAAAAACTAAAGGAGAACACTAAGGCAAGAAGAACTTGTCTCAATTCATAATTTAATAAGCCAACACCAAACAAGCCTTAAAACAAACAGAAGTTAGACAATAAGCGAAAACTAAAAAAAAAAACTACCCTCAGAACAACCAGCAAGTGGTCACCTCACATGCATCGAAATAGTAGGTAAGATGATATGTGCTTGAAGACATGCAAACTAGTGGTCCACCACAGTTACCTAGGGCCAACGTCCTCCACAAACTCCTCCGAAAAATGCTACCAAACTGAAATCTCTGGGTAGTGTCTTATCTACAAACCCATCTGCCTTCCAAAATTTACCTCGGAACTTAGTTCGTTAAAACTCCCTCGCCGAATAAAGAAAGAGCGAGCGGAGGCCGGGGCCGAATTTTCGGAGCCCACAGCTATCAATATGCAGGTCAATATAAAATCAAGTCAATCAATAGTCAATGAGTCTATGCAACGCAGAAATCCATCGTCAATGAAATCAAGTCTATACAGCGGAAATCAAATCAGCAGTAAAAACATCGATAAATCAATATTCCCCAGCAATCAATCAATAAGTGTTCCCAGTCAATATCCAATCATCGTAGCAGTGTCTATCAACCAATACTATCAGTTCAATCAATCGTATCGTCTAGTCAATCCGTTGTATCTATATCATCTATCATATCAGTCAATACTCTTGCAAATCAATCAGTCCAATTATTCCATATGATCTACTCGATATCAATCTACTATATTCAATGACACTACGGTAGATTCAATAATGACGACATACGATGCTACAGTAGGGAAATCATCTCAATCAATAAAGCACTTTCCAGTCAATTATATCAATCGGCTCAAATCCCAATAAACAATCTAATCCTAATAAGAAAGGGGGAGGCAAAAGGCCACCGACTGGAGCAGCACCCAAAGGGGCACGCGAGAACATCCAACGAACGGATAGGTGCTAGGGGGGGAGAATCAGGACAGGCAGAGGAGCCGAAAAGGCAAAAAGAGGGGGTGAATGAACCCGGGTAGCATAGAAACTGAAAAAAATTGTATAAAGGAAACTAAAGCCCAACAATCTCAAGCCAGCCATACCTGAATCAACCAAGCCACACCCAAAGAACTTGGGTCAATCCCAAGTCAGCCCACAAGCCATGACACCATAGGAACTAGCACTCCAAAGGCATAGATTGTCCAAGAGTACAACCTACACTTGATCATTGGTTGCCTTCGATCATAGGGTAGAAAAAAGATTAAAAAAAATAAAACTCAAATTACAATAAAGTTCACAAATTGAAATGAAATTTGCATGCATCAATCACGTCCTTACTGGCAATAGTTGATTTCAGAATGAATTTTTGTGATATTTTCGATTGGACATTCATCATTTGTGAACTGAAGTGATTTTCAAAATTTTTCACCTCGATAAATTGTAAAGACTTGATGGGTTTTACTTAAGGTTAGATGGTTAAATTTAAATTTTAAATATTTATATTTTGATAGGCGTTGAGTTTTAAAGTTTGATGGATTTTTGTGATTTGACCCCTCCGGTTGAGATTTATGTTATACACGGCCATCATCGGGATGACAGTTGTCAATTAAAAATATTTGTAATTTGTTAAAGTTTGGAGGCATTTGAAAGAGTAGAGTCCCCCCTAGTTGAAATTAGCTTTCAGTATGGCCATCATCGGGGATTA